CCCCCCCCCAAAAAAAAAAAAAAAAAAAAAAAAAGTTACAATTTTTTCAACTAACCCTACTGACGATGTTAGATGAACTAGTAAAAAGACCAGATACACTCTTCAAATTAATTCTCTAATTATTATATTCAATATAATTAATAAAGCGGGGGCATTTTGGTCAAAATTGGACCAAACTATAGGGCTTCTGAAAATTGCCCTTAAAATTATTAGAAGGTAATTCACGGTTCCATCGGGGGTAATTCTGTCACTGGAATCATGTGATTTTTTACATGCACAATTAAACTAAACGGTGTTGGTTATAAGGGTTATCTGACAAAACTTAAGGGGGTAAAACCTCAGAAACTTCAAACTTAAAGCGATTTTGCGAAGTTTACCAGTTATCCTACACCAAAGACTCACCTATGTAGTTGATTTTTTGATGACCCAACATTCAATCTGCGGCAGAGAACCAGAGAACTAGATGCATTCACTGCTGGATAAAGAGAGGTCTTCAATGCTCTCAATTCGAGTAATGATATAAAAGGAGTTCCAGAATTTGTATCCACCAAGCACACTGATATAAGATCGAATTCAGCCACAGTCAGAGCTTCAGCTGTGTAGATAATGGATGCATCAGAAATGTTTATTGTTTTCCACAGATTGACCCCTAACACGAGATCAAATAGCATTGGATTGTCTGGTTCTGCATTGTTTAGGCCATCATAGTTCCCGTATAAGAATGAAGCTCTTAGTAAGTACTTAACACCAGACGATACTGATAAAGTGTAGCAATTCCTACTTCCACTTGGAAAGCTTCTGAGGCTTAACAACTGTGCGGGCAATGAGTTTGTGATGTAATCTTGTGAAATGTTATTGTTCACACCACTGTCTATAAACTGCGCATCAGATGTGTATGGTATACCGGTAGAATCGTCATAGTAAAAACGATCTTTCTCAATGCCGCAATCAATACTTATGAAACCTGCATTAAAGGAATTTATGTCATGTTGCAAGAAACATAAGGTATATATGCTTTCTTTTTATTCTTTTCTTGCCTTGGTTAAACTGCCATGTATCAATGTAACGATACTACTTGAAAAAAAAGAGGTGAAATGCTCCTTTCATATTCTAAAGAAGAGAAAGGAAATAAGCAAAAGAGGAAGTACTATGCTTTGTTTTTACCGTTGAATCCTGAAATTATAAAAATTTAACAACTATATTGCGGATAAGGTGTGATGCAACTGCAATTATCCAGACATCTTACACGATTCATACCAAACATGGAAATGAATCAGTAAGCATGAAAATATTAAAATCTAGACTAAGAATCATACTACTTAGGTATCACAGAAATGAGACAAGAATTCGTTAAAAAAAAAGCAAAAGTTTAGCATACGTTCATATGCTGCCTTATCTATTTGTTCAACTCTGGAATATTTGTCATGAAAAATGAAAATTTCAGAATGCCAATGATCTACGTAGGAAGCCTTAACTAGATGGGAATGAGATAGATGGGAAAAAAATGCAATCAATTCCCGGCAATAATAACCCTGGAAATGGACCTATTTTCTGAAAACAGTAATCCAACCTAATAATATAATAAATACAAAGCCAAACCAACGGGGTTTTTCGTTCAGGGATACAAAAATTGACGCTGAAAGATGCAAATGTAGGAAATTTTGAGCACTGAAGCATTTCGTCAAACACGTAGCAGGCGTTAATTGGGTATATAAGCCATGATCAGTAAGAGACTAGAGTGAACATTTCGTCCCAAATTCAAGGTATAAAATAAATAAAGAAAGAACACATGCAAATTCTGTCAATGTGCACTTCAAAAAAATTTGTGATCTAGCATTGATACTTATTTTATATAAAAAAAAAGTATTCATGTGTAATTTTCCACTCTTTATGCTGCTTTGGGCCAGCGACGTGATCGAGAATCGGTGAGGCTCGTGGGCCTTCGTACGTATTTTGACCATAGAAGGTCGCGAGATTGTAGCAAGCAAGGGTGGAAAGGAACCAAAATTAATAAATAGTTCCATAATTGTTTGAATAGTTGTTCGGTCGTATTCGATTCGGTAGTTTATTTATCACTAAAAAAATATTTTTTAGTATTCGAGTTTACTAACGAATAGAATTTAATCAGATGTATATTCGATTCGTTATTCTATTAAATATTCGTTTAAAATTTAATCACACCTTATTATTTGTATTATTACACACATGATGTCATATTTTTAACTCACTTACCATTTCTATTTAAGTTTTATATACTGATTTTAAGACTTAAATAATTTTAAATCTATTTTCTAATTAAAAATTTGATTTGAATATATACATCTATTATAAAGGAATAATTTTTATTTATGAATTTTAATATTATTTGAAAATCAAATTTTTTAGCAGAATAAATATATTTTGATATTCGAAAGTATTCATAAATATTTATGAAATACCAAGTATTCGAGTTCGAATTCGAAAACTAGATATATGAATATTAGAGTCCGCATTCGAATTCGATAATTTTAAACAAATATAAATACGAACACCTTAGTATTCGATTCGATTCGATCGATCTTTACCACCCTAGTAGCAAGGGTTTAATTTGACGAAAACCCCTTGCTTTGGCGAGTTTTGCTGATTGCCTCTATGGACATTTTTTATATCACATAACCCCCTGAAGATGTATTCATAACCCCTCTGATTTTTTTTTCTTTTCTCACCTTACCCTGCTATCGGTGATTGGAAAATAACTAAAATTTTCTTGTGAGATAAAAAATTGTCAATTGGGGTGTGGGGTGTATATTTGTCTGGAAAAAACAAATGATGAAATTTGAGTTTTTTCCCCTCTTAATGAAATTTGAGTCTGGTGAGGATAGTTTAAAATTCAAGCGGGCTACGTGAGATGCCCCAAAGTTTAAAAGGGTATGTTAGATTTTTTTTTAACTTTTGGGGAATTATGCGTAAAACCCCCCAAGTTCAAGGAAGCATTGTGAATTTAACCCTTTTAGTACCAACAAGCTACGGATTTTCTTCTTCTTTAAATAAGTCTCGCAAGAAACTCTTTAATGTAAATCCTAGTCTATAAAGCTTTGATTATTTAAAATATATGAAACTAACTTCATGGTCTTATTAGTGTAAAGCAGTAGCGTAGATCATCATGCAGTCTTTTTATTTTATATTTTTTTTTATTTTATTTAAAAGTTACACGGAGTCAGTTTCTGCGTCTCTATGAAAATATAAATAGTCAGTCTGAGACGCTTGTAACCATATGCACCTATAAAGCTAATGTTTTATTTGATATAAAACAGCAAGGCTTAAGTAGAAGAGTCTTACATCCATAGCCGTAGGACTCGGAGGTGCAATTAAGGAAAATCCGATTTTAAAAAAAAAATGTTTAGGCTTGATAGCAAGCAACAGAGTTTAAAGGACTCAAACTACTTGAAAGTCTTGAAAAGGGACACCATCTGGTTAGTTATTAGTTAATAATTTTTCATTTTCAATTTTCCTTAAGTTCATTAGAGCACAAAATTATTACTCTGACGTCTTAACAAAACTGTTAGCTTGACCTGGTCTAAGATGACCAAATCAACGTTCGTTTGAGAAGAACGTGGAGAAAAATTGGGTTTGTTGAGAGAAATTCTCTCAGGAGCGGTTATGAGGGGGGTGGAGATAATGAGTTCTGGCTCCTATATAAAGAGGAGTAATCTCCTTGAGAAAAATGCAACACAGAAACAAAATCAAACCCTTACCCATTACCGGAGCCCCTCAAAATCTGTTCTTCTTCTTCGATTTCGATCACTGGTATCAGAGCCAGGTTGATCTCATTCAGAGTTCGAATGTAATGATGAGATTTTTTTTGACAAAATATAAAGATTAATAGTGTAACTTGAACCCTTTCGTGTTCTAATTTCATGTCAGTGTTAATGAGACAGGCCCCACATGGTGTTAGCTAGCTCGGTTTACTTTGTGCCAACAAATACTGTTTATCCAATTGCCAAACAATAGAAGATTGAACATTAATTGTCCTCAAACAAGTTCTTGAACTAGTAATAAGAAAAATGTTCATGAACTAAAAAAACTATCCTTTTATAGTTCACCGCATTTTAAAAGATAAGTATAATTTCTTTAATATTCTCATCATAATTTCAAGAGTTCATCATTATTATTATTTTGTCAATAATTTCAGGAGTTTATATTAGAATTTGATGATTGAGAACTAACAACTCATTTAGCTAAATGCGCTATTATGAATTGTATGGTGATGAGAGTCATCCATATAATATGAACACGGGGTAAGATGACTCACCGCAAGTTCATCTATTTATAGTTTTTTTTAGCAAAAAATGAACATCCACTTCATATTCATTACTGTAGCGCTAAAAGTTCAGTACCAAACAAGACCATCTTGACACAATCCTAAATAAACTAATTTAACTTTATCAAAAACAAAATTACTACTACTACGTTTACATATAATTTTGGTGAACCATCTATTGTATATGTTCGAACTTCCTAGAGATTCGATATTGTGTGCATTATTAACTCATTCAAATAAAACAACATGTAGTACAATAAAACATAGTGAGAGCTCACCTTGAGTACTTGGTACCCCAACAACTCTAACAATAACGCTGAAAATATTAAGCAAAATGAAGCAGCCTGCTAACAAGATGAAGCTTAAGAATCCCATGATAATTAAGAATCAAATATATATTAGTTAACTGAGGAGCTCCCTTTTCAAAGTCTCAGTAGTTAACAAAAAGAGAGCAAGCTATATATACACATGGGGAGTACAAGCTTATAACTAAGGATCTTATGGGAATGTAATCTCTCTCTCTCTCCAGGAATTTTCCCTAAAAGTCAATTGAAGGAATGTATGTGACACTAAACTAAAAATTAATTCAAATTAAAGGAACGCATGTGATAATAAACTCAAATTTTGTATTTATTACCGACTTTAGACGTGAGAGCTACGAAGCTTCATGAAAGCAGATAACTGCGGGCTTTGATTAAGTTATTTATTTTTATTTTTATCTCAAAACAGATAAATAAATTACTGGAAATTGATTGCAATTTCTTATAACTATTTGCTCCTAAAAGACTAGTTTTTAATTCATTTTTTTAGATAACCCAACCGAGAATGAGACTCGAGACTGTAATAGTTATATCGGAACCTCCAAACCGTCTAAATCACTCACAGTGGAATTGATTGGTTTTTGCTTCTGATCGCCAGTCAATAAAGATCGTTAGTTTTGTCATGTCTAAATTGCTCGAACATCTGAGAGTTTTTATTATATTTTCATTTCTGGAATAAACCACTTTTCATCATACGCAACAATAATTTTTTAACAAATTATTCACAGTTTCAATGGTTTGATTGTATTTCTTGAGGGGCAAATTAAGAAAGACAAAACAGTACTTTAAGCAATAGAATTCAAGATCGTGCATGCCACGGCCATTTGCATTTCCAATTGAAAGAATGAAACAAGCAAGAGCTAGGCCAAGTAAGCAAGTCAACTAAATGAATAAATAAATATAGAGAGAATTTGCATGGAGATAAGACAAAACCAGTCCCTTTAATTCAAGCAACCCATGATACTTCTTAGAATTCTTTGCAGCATTTTGTTTGTTCGGAAATTGCCTGGCAAAAGGAATAATTCCCACAGGCCAAAGGAAACCAAACTCATTTTATTCAAAGCTCAGGGATCTTGTGTTTTGAATTGAAGAAATTTTTGTTTTAAACCTGTTAGGACTTTTTTTTAAAACCGACCCACTCTGTTTTTATTTCCAGAAATCGACTCACTTTGTGGTCACGTCAGCAACGTGGCCACGAAGCGGGTCGATTTTTTTTAATCTCGGCTCTAAATAGTCGGGGTTGTCAACCCCGACTATTTTTTTTTTGATAGAAAAACAAGGGTTAGACCCTGTTCATTAAAAACCAAAAGCAAATACAAAGTTGTTTTAAGTACAAAAAAGGATACGAAATGTATCCAGAAGTTAGTAGATAGAAAATATAATTCCTTGTAATTAGTGACGTATAACCTTCTTCTTCTAAAGATCTATGAAGGTGAAGAGTGGGCCTTGCCGTCATTCACCGTTGACATAGATATAAAGAAGAACCAAAGCCAGCTATACGTATAATTAGAAGGAACTAAATTTTCTATAAACTAACAGACACAAATATAAACAAGGTGAAGGAGTTAAGATACAAAATTACAAAAAACATCTCCAAAAAGAGAATTTCCAAGCAGATCTTCACATCAAGTACTTCTCCTGCTAATTGGATGCTCCTCAAGCCATGTAGAGAGATTATTAGCAACTGAACCACTTCCAGCTCCTATCCAATCATATACACCAGAGATTGAGAGGTTAATAATTGATTTAAATGAAAAATTAGTATGCTCAAAAATGAATTTGTTTCTAGCAAGCCAAATATGCCAGCATACAGATGATAGGATTGTACGCCATAGATGTCCTTTCTTGCCATTAAGTTGTTCAACGGATTTAAGGAGATTTGTAAAACATGAAGGCCATTGAAAAGGGAGGTAGTATTCTGTGAAGTGTCTCCAAACATGTAATGATAAAGAGCATGAATAGAAAAGATGATCCCTTGATTCTTCTGTCAACCCACAGAATGAACATATATTGTCTCCTTGCCATCCTTTTGTTGATTCTTCTGTCAACCCACAGAATGAACATATATTGTCTCCTTGCCATCCTTTTGAAAGAAGATTGTCCTTAGTGTGCAATTTGTTTAGTGTTAGCAACCACATAAAAAACCTGACTTTGCTTGGGATGATATTGTTCCAGGTAACCTTGTAGTAAGGAGTGAGAATACCTCTAGAAATTTGAAAATTGTAATAAGATTTAACTGAAAAAACTCCACTTGTTGTTAATGTCCATCTGGGTTGATCCTGTTGAGTAGAGACATGATGAAGCTGTAGTGAGTTCATGAAATGTATTCTGTCATTTTGAGACGAAGGAGTTATACTTCTTTTCATCAAAGGATGCCAATGCCATATATTGTCCTGAAAGAATCCTTGGCTATTGATAGATACATTAGTGGAGAAAGATAACTTGTATAAAGATGGATAAAGGCTAGCTAGAGAGTTAGCTCCAAGCCATTTATCTTCCCAGAACCTTATATTATCACCAGTGCCTAGTTTCCATTCAATGTTGTGAAGAAAAACCTCATTATGAGAAATGATAGCATTCCAGAAAGAAGAATTCAGTGCATTGATACTACTAGTTTGAATGTTGTAATTTCTGGTAGCATATAGTTGATGAAGGAAAGCACCAATTGTGGAATTTCTGTCCAGACACTTCCATAGCCATTTTGCTAGAAGAGATGAATTGAAAACTTTAAGATCTTTGACTCCTAATCCCCCCTCTGTTTTAGTGAGACATACTCTCTTCCAACTAACCATACATTTGAAGGCATTATTATCTATATTTCCTGTCCACAGGAAATTTCTCCTGATTTTATCAATTTCCTTGATGAGCCACATAGGTAATATGTAGAATGACATGAAATATAATGGAATGGAAGATAAGACAGAATTTAATAAAACAAGCCTCACACCAAAGGATAATGAATGTTTCCTCCATGTAGATAATTTCCTATGAAGGTTATCAAGAATGGGTTGCCAATCAGATTTAGAAAGCTTCCCATATTTGAGAGGCAAGATTAAAATAGATTTTGCTAAGGCTTTTGATTCATTGAACTGGAAGTTCATTATTGATCTTCTAAAGGCAAGAGGTTTTGGACCTAGATGGTGCTCATGGATTCATAATATTATTTCATCTTCCAGTTGTGCAGTGCTAGTTAATGGGCAGCCAACCAAATTCTTTAATTGTAAGAGAGGTCTTAAACAAGGGGATCCGCTATCGCCAATGTTATTTAACATTGCGGTGGATGTCCTTCACAGAATGATAGTGAACAATGTTGATGATGGTTTACTATCTAGTCTTGGTATCAAAGCTCCTTTAAACCAGTTGAGAACTCTTCAATATGCTGATGATACCCTTCTTTTTGTCAGAAGCTCTTCAAATGACATCAGAATCCTCAAAACAATTTTGTATATTTTTGAAGAAATGTCAGGCCTGGGTATTAATTATTCCAAATCATCTCTTGTGTATTTTGGCAAAACTCATTTGAAAGAGCATTCACTTGCTTCATAACCCCGACTATTTTGACAGTAGCAAAATTAGTCGGGGTTGGCAACCGCGACTATTTAGAGACGAGATTAAAAAAAATCGACCCGCTTCTTGGCCACGTTGCTGACGTGGTCACAAAGTGGGTTGATTTCTAGAAATAAAAACGGAGTTGGTCGGTTTTTTTTTAAATTGGATTGGGTTTTAAATGAAAATTTCTTCGTTTTGAATTATATGATTCGGATAAAATGATGACCCTATTTAAATCATTGATACTGGGATAATTTTTTGGCTGCTCATTCCAGTTCCTGCAATTTTCTCACGTATTTCTAATTTGATGATTTGACTTTTTTGTTAAAAAGACACAAGCCTTTTAATGTAAGATTGGATGCAATCTGATATTAGGATCTAAGAGAGATGCCACTATTATCTGCACAAATCAGTTAGTATGACTCAATTCATACTTTATCCGGGTAACAACTGCATTCTAAATCAAACATGTAAATCTTTATGTATTTCTCTTGTTTTATTTTCTCGATTTATTTTAACCATTTCATATTTTCCAGCATTGTTACTTACAGAAGGAATGTGGCATGCTTACATCTAGCATATCCATAATGCTAGAAACTGTACATAAGCCCTTAAGGGCGCGTTTGGTTCAAATTTTTTTGATGGAAAAGGGGGGGATAATCGTACTTGTCAGCTTGTAAATGTTGCTGTCTGCACATCTGTTTGGTTGGGGCTGTAAGGTCGCGTTTGGTTCAAAAAATTTTCATGGAAAGGGGGGGAGGAAAGCTGCCATATTGCTGACAATATGTCAGCTTTCCCCTCCCCTTTCCATGAAAAAATCATGAACCAAACGCGCCCAAATATCCACATATATCTTGTGCAGTATCTTGCATGCATCCGAAACTACCCCATACTCCTCAAAATCTTCTTCAGTACCTTGCACGCATGTCACTGCCCTTTTCTATGCACGCAGGAAAAAGGATGGAAACAATTACAAAAAAAAAAGAAAAAAAAAGACAGCAATAACTGCATTTAGAACAATATGAAATCAATAGATCACTATACGCTACACGTTCAATCAAAATGCCGCTGAAATAGTGAGAGACCAAAATGCATTGAATTATATTACAGAGACTTTACGATGAAAATCACCATAGTTCAGTAAAAAGGAAACAGGATTTTATATGTATTACAGAATGATCAGAACTTCAACCATATTTCACAGTTTGGATCCTAAACCAGGAATAGAAGCAAAGCTAAATTTTACAATGAGAAATTACTTATTTTCACCTCACTGCTGGACCTCTAACTCCTTGAGCTATTTCAAACGACCCACTATTACTCATATCATTCGTATCAATGGCATATTCGAAACTTCTATCTAGGCTCCTATCATTGCCAGTCTCCATGGCCAAAGACTCCTTAAGCTGTACCACGACATGGGACATTGATGGCCTTAAGGTAGAGTTTGCTGATACACACTTCACCGCGGTATCTAATGCCTTCCAGAGTGAGTTTGCATCGTAATCATTTTCCAACCTCACATCGAGCAAGCTTGCAATGTCACGATGTAATATCTGGCAATGAAAATTGTACGTTATTTCATTCACGTTAGCTCCTGGAACCAAACGTGTGTAAATACTAGTTCAGGTCTGAATTATTGTCTAAAAGCAACCCAAGCAATACAAGATAAATATACGCTAGCTGAAAAATCAGAATAATGAAATGAAATTGTACAGTAGATGCATGCATGCATGCAAAGAAAATAAAGTTGCCCCAGAAAATATATTTTTCCATCCTTTTACCTTTCTTTCTCAAGAGCTGCTCCACCTGGCGGAGGAAAGCTTAGTCCGCTATTCCCAGTTTAAAAGTCTCTCAGAAAAGAAAGCAAAGATTCGGAAAACTTTAACATGATAACTATTACAGTATAAAATTATAACCCTCAACTCTCATCACAGATTCAGAGTTTTGTTATAGTGACAGGATCCTTTAGCATGGTATTAGAGCAACCCAAGTTGAATTCCCACTGACCACAAACTTAAAAGCGGATTTTTAAATTTAAAAAGAAGTCTGATACTACTGAATGTGTTCTAGCTTCAGCCCATACAAAGGATGCTCAACCTGCGGGACATGTTCGCCTATAAAATTATGACCCTCAACCCTCCTCACATCTTCAGAGTTTTGGTGCAGTGGCAAGAAAAAAGAAAAAAAATGAAAGGAAAAAAAGGACGCTCAGCATCATTACAGATTAGATCTGGTTTAATGCCAAATTGAGTGGCTTAACTAGAAAGGAGAAAATGGAAGACGACTGCAATCACTGACCAACAATGTCAGATAATTAACTTAATGTATCCCTCTTGGATAAAGAACATAAAGTTTTCTCCTGAAGGAAGACTTACTCAGGATCAAGGTAGCCTGGTGTTCCAACTACCGCTGTTGGCAGATTGCTGAAGACCTCAGTGCGGAAAACTTTAGACAGCCCAAAATCTGCTATCTTGGCCTCCATATTCTTATTCAGAAGTATATTGCTGGTCTTCACATCTCTGTGAATGATTGGTGGATTGCATCCCTTATGCAGGTACTCCAATCCTGTATGCCAATCGGCGCCATCAAGAGATTTGGAGGAGAGGAAATGTAATAACCTGAGCAAGTGGTGTAAAAAGAACAAGGCGAGAAACCTTCTGCAGCTTCAAGTGCAATTCGGAGCCGCTCTCCCCAGAGAAGACCTCTAGAACTTCCTATTTTACCTGTCAAGACTAGGTAATTCCAATTACCATTGGATACAGCTATCTTTTGACAAGTTTAAGAAGCCAAATTAATCACTAAGAATCATGAACGTAAATAGATTTTGGAATGGATAACTCTACCATTTTGCATAGAGCTGAAAGTTAAATGTACGTGTAAAAAAACTTCAAATTTTCATTACTTTCTATTTTTCTTGTTAACCAATATTATTTTCTTCCATTATTCTAGCAACACAATGAACCCTCATATGTCAATGTATAGTAACAGTTTTTTCAAACAAGTCAAGCCACACACACACGAAATGCCAGACACATCGATATACTGGCATGCATGCTTACATATTACAAATATCATGTCAAAAATATCATGAACACATAGTAGAAATTCCATGCCAAAGATATCTTGCAATAAAAGATTGAGAGGGACTGAAGAAGAGATTGAGAACCTGCCAGATGCTCCTGAAGACTTCCTCGATGCATGAATTTGTAGACAAGCGCTAGGTAATTTCCATCATTGCAATAGCCGATAAAGGGCACAAGGTTTCTGTGATGAATTCTCATCAAGAGGTGGATCTGCAACAAGGATAAAAAAATGTTACCTGTTAAGGCTCTTCATGAGAAGATTATTTTATTAGAGAGGGACTTGACAAGAAAAGAGAGAAAAAAGAAGAAGAAATTAGAAGGCCACCTGGCATACAAAAATCTAACTTACTGTGATTAATCACTCAGGTTTAAGTCATACAACCATGACAAAATGCTCGAAAATTTAGAATAAGAACTTAGACAACAGCAAACATGATAAATGTTGATATTTAGAATCTCCCCTGTGACACGCGCGCACACACAAATAAAACAAGAACTAAACTAAGATGCATTTCCACATAATGAACTAAGCTTCAACTGTATATGACAGACAAAAAGTCAACAATGATTTAACCATATACAATCTACTAAGCTAATGTGCTTTATATTCATGCCTTCCATGTTTTTTTAATAAAAAAATCCCACATGTCCCTTTATAACATCATTCCTAAACTTATTCATTTCTCCAGGCATCCTTCTTAACGTTCTCATGGACACACAGCTGTGCTAGAAAGGAGATCAAAGATGCATTTGAACTTGAAACATATACGTTACCCTTGCTTTATATTCCAACTTGGGCTGTAATGCATTAGTGTTCAATAATATGATAGTAAATTTTAAACTAAATTGGAATCAATCACCTCCGTCATAAACTCCTTCCCCCCTTGAGATGATGATTGAGATCGCATCTTGACTGCAACTTCAATACCATTCTCTAATTTGCCATGATAGACAGACCCAAATCCTCCTTTGCCAATTTCATATTGGAAGTTCCCTGTAATCTTTTCCAGCTCCATATAAGCGAATTGCTGACACTCCGGTTGAAATGGGAGATCATTATATATCAGCTGTCCTGAATTATTTTTATTCATTTTCCTAACAAGGATACCTGGAATCCAGCCTGTAGAAACCAAACAAGTATCACGAAAAATGTGCCAGATGGATATAGAAAATGCAAATAAACAAACCATATAGAGGAAGGGCACTTAATCAAGGTCTTTGTGTCAGAAAATTCTACCTTGCTGTTTTCTCCTTACTCTCAATGCATAAAATAAAATTGATAATAGCAGCATGAGAGCAATTAAAACTGTCACTGGCAGTACAATTACAATGGTCGCCGTACTTTTCTTTTTCTTTCCACACGCACCCCCGTTCTTGCACAGACTAGGATTGCCTTCAATACTGCAATAGGAAAATCTTATAGGAATTATTCATCATCTATGTTTGGATAGGAACAAGAATATTCACACATGCATTAACATGTGTGATCGAATGATATCATATAATATGGTAAATTAGAAGAAAAATTAGCAGCTCCTCAAAACCTCACAGTAATATGTCTAAAGAGAAGCCACCAGCAGGATGTCATTTAAAAGACAATTCTTTACCAAGGGGTCTCAGGCCAAAGGAAACTAGTGCATGAGATTGACTCCTGAAATCTGGAAGTAAAAATCACCAGGTGGCAATCAAAGTTATGTAGTATGTCCCTTTGAAGAAAAAGAACAGGTCTCTGCAGGCATACCTAATAACACATTCTGGCTAACATACATGCACAATGGCAGTTTTATTTTATGTACTAAAAATAGAAGAACATGAGGGAATCATATTAGAAATTTACATCCATATGCTTGAAAGGTGCCTCAAATAGGGTATTTGATAGCAGAGTCTTAAGGATCTCAGACGCAAGAAAATTACTGGAAACAAAACTGTAGAGTGATGACAAGGGAATTCAAGTATCTTATAAATATGAAGAGAAAATATAGGTATATAAGGCACACCCGAGTGGCATTCATGTGAGACCATCAGATCGTTAATATTCTTTCTCCACAGGTAAACCAACGACTCCCTCTTCACACCCTCAAAGAAGTTTAATTCCACAACTTGATGCTACATCAGTCAATAATTGTATGAAGTGCACGAACTTAGAAAATCCATGGATAAGTCTCCATGTTAAGTTTTCATTCTCGGAAACTCTTTTCTCTAGTATATAGCCATATCCTTTTAGGTAAGTGGGAGGTATGACACAAACTGTATGTTGTAGTTGACAACTAGATGATCCAGTAACGATAATCTTTTATATCTGGAAACTCGCACAGAGTTCCCAACCTTGCTCTCAACAACAAAAATACCCATGTTGAGTCCTATAGTTGTTGACAGCCTTGTCATATGTGAAGCAAGAAACTGCTTACCACATCAGTGAAGGATCAAGGAAAACTTGGAAAGAACATGCATGGATAAGCTGGCATATCTATGGATAGATTAAACTGACTCATAGCTGATCACTTGATTCAACCATCACTATCTAGTCCAGAGCCATGCCCTTTTCTGGAATAGGTGAGCAACTTCATAAAATGGAATGCAAATTTAGCTATAATCAACTGAAAAAGAATATAAGAACCACATGAATTGACGTCTAGAGAATATAGAGCAAACCTTAATTTAAGAGACCCATTTTCTGCTCTCTTAAGGAGAGCTGGAGGAATCTGTCCGCTAAGTTTGTTTCCCGACAAATTTCTGCAGGAAAGAAGGTAAAAGTTTGAAAAATCAATCTTCTTCATTCAGCATTATGTCACCATATTAAGGCCAACCCTTACAGTAGTTTTAGGGATTCCAAATCCGAAAGAAAATTAGGTATTGGCCCAGTTAACTCGTTTACAGACAAATCCCTGAAACAGAAATGAACAGCAAAACATCATTCCCCTAGAATAATCACGTGGTTTTGGTCCCTGGCTTACAATTTAATAAAAGTGGAACCTGAAATATATTGCATGTAAGAAGCAGCAATTTATGACAACAAAAACAGTATTGTTTTTATACTGATGTTTGAGTTGCAGCATGAATCCTTTATCCATACTAAGGACGGGCAGGATCCAATGAGAGTGGTGACCTAAGACATACAGACTTTTATACTTGCAACAGCCTGAATTGATAAGTACTAGCTCAAGTAAGCTAGTTAATTATGACTATTGTTGCTACTAGTTCTGGAATCCTGTTGAAGTCTTGTGACTTGTATGTTATGACGACAAGGGTTTACAGGGTGGCAGACTTTGTTTTAGTAACTATTTATTAATGAAACCCAAAGATCTTTTATCAGGCAACCATTTTCTCACAAAGATATCACAATATCATGAACCCCAACTATATACCAGGAGATCTCGTCTATTTCACACAAAACGATGGTAGTTACCAAAGAGGGAAAGATATAGATGAATAACTGATCTGAAAGTATAATAAAAACAGATGATCAAAGTCTCACTAGAAGGAGGGCACAGTAAACAAGATTCCAATCCAGATTTACTCACAGGTATCCAAGTGCTTTGAAATTGGCAAGCAAAGGGGGTATTTCACCAGTCAATCCACTAGAATGAAGGTCTCTGCAAAACAACTTAAACTATTAGAATATTGCAGATTTTCTCTTGAACTACTTTATATTAAAATTTTCTATGAAGAAAAACTTAAGCAAAAAAAAAAAAAAAAAAAAAACCCAAAAAACTTAAAAAAAAAAAAAAAAAAAAAAAAAACTCACAAAACTACGATCCTTGGGGAAGAAGACATATTATAGCTACAAACAAGGCCATCCCATGCAAAAGCTCTTGGTGCACATGGATCACCTATCCAATTTCTCTTCACATTATAGTGCATTTTGATTGCCATAATTGCATCAACTGATATCACCAGACGACAGGAATGAGACACATATACAACAGAAAATGGCTTTATATTATGAAATAACAATAATCACCGCAACCTATGTTGCATCGGTATGGGTACAGGTACCTGTATAGGTACGGGACACGACAAATTTGTAAAAGGCAAGGTATGAAGACACGACTATATAAATATTTATATACACATATATTATATATTGGAACTAATAATTTATATGAGAACAAGGATGACAATTAAAATTCCTATAACATTTTTTTGTTTCTTTCATTACGTGGATTATAAATAGGAAGAAAACACTAGTTTTTAAACTAGACATCAAAACAACCCTTCAAAATCATAAATCGGAACATGACCTATGTCAACAAGTTTCATGAAGTGGATGTGAAATGTAGGGCATATGTGAAAAAATGTACATCTAGTGTTTTAAATTAAGACATGTATTGTATAATTGAGTACATGCTCGAATAAATATATGCAGACATGCAAGGAGTATCCAAGGAGTATGGGTATAGGTACATGTCGGGTATGGGTGCGGCTTCAAATTAGAAGTACCCAAGTAACATAGACTGCAGCATTACAAAATGATCCAAAACTCACTAACAAAAATCAAATAGGGCAACAAACTTAATTATCGAAGTATGAGCAAATGGGGTTGGCATATGGTTTGCAGCAATCACTAACAACAAAAAATACATGTAAAGTTTTAAAAAAGACACTTGTACTCCTCCATCACTTTTCGCTTCTACTCAAAAAATCATCCAATTCTTCAATTCAACCAATAAAATCCTCATATGCATTCGTTCTCCCAATTCTTGGATCCCAATTAATTCGTAGACATTGAAATTGTGGTTTTTTTAATTAATTCTTCAAATGGACTTTTCCATAATTTACCCTACAAGGTGAATTTATCTCGCAAGTGTAATGCAATATGACTCTCAACGTCTTCATCATAGACAAAAAATCACAAAACATAAACATTAAAAAAAGAGGAGTCTTTTCGATATTTGTCCCCCACATCTTTCATATTTTAAAATTAACCCACCAAATCTTCATATTTTGAATTAGTCCCCCAAATCTTCCAAGTGTTTTAAAAATTAGTCCCTCCAGGTAGCACCGGGTTGGAAGAAGTGGGGGACCAATTTCATACCCCTTAATAGACATGGGGGACTAATTTTAAAATATGAAAATGTGGGGGAATATGAAAGATTTGGTGACTGATAACTAATAAAACAATGATAGCCTAAACTCACCGTCTCCGCCATCAGTAGCCAACTCCGATGCCTCCAAAACCGAGTAAACCTCCACCGCGTTCAAAATCGGCGCCACCGTGGCATTCCTATCCTGCTCCAGCGTCACATCATACCGCGCCATTTCCCCAGGCTTCACACTATAAACATGATCCCCAACCAAATACCTAGGGCTAAAGGGACCGAACCAAAGCTCTCCATTAATAAAGATGCTGAACGATCTCTTGTGGGGTCCGAGGTGACGGAGCTCGGCGAAGTGGAGGAATAGGTGGGACCGGGAGAGGGACCCGCTCTTGGTGGCGGGTGGGGAGGCGGTGGAAAGTGGGGCCCACGAGGGCTGGGTGGGGTTTGGGTGCCAGATTCTGTCGTAGGGGTCGTCTGGGTACCTGAGGAGGATTGTAACATGTTATTTGGATATTTGTCCCTCAAACCTTTCCTATTTTGAGAAATCATTGAAATTGCTATTAGGCCCCCATGTTATATAAGTATTATGAAATTAGTCCCCCAAATCATGTGAGCATTTTTGAAATCAGTTCCCCAAATCATATAAGTACTATAAGTATCTTGGAGAGTTAAATAAAGTTATGCTTTATTTAATTATTTCTGTTATTATTATATATGATAATACCCGATCAGTTTGGAAAGATCATGTACAATAGTCAGGCTTCTTTTTTCTTTTTCTTTTTTTTAGGTTTTTGCAGGAAAAGTTATGCTTTTAATATCATAGAAATAATATTTTTTTCCGTTTACATGTTTTGCAAAGAACTCGTGTAAGAGATCATGAATTTATGTATTTATTATGTTCATTTGACAAACAAAGTCAGACATTCCAAAGTTGAGAATTTAGAACCTCTCATAATTTGCTCTTTCACTTTGCAATAAAATAAAATATCACTAAGTTGTGTTAAGAGCATTATAATATCCAACATAATCTGTCAATCTAAAGTTTGGACATTTTCTTTTAGGTTATGGTGATAGATAGGGTATGTTAAATATAAACTATTCGAAACAAAAATGAAATTATCGCAACATGATTTAACTTGCATCGCTGTCTATACTAACGTTTTAGTACTTTTCCAAAAGTAGCATCCAATCCATAGGTAAATTCCATGTATACTACTTGTTTTTTGCTAGATAGCTTATGTCTAATATTATAGCTATATGAATGGATTTTATGTTTTAACATTTTGATAATATTTGCATGTTGCTTCATAACTAACTTATTCAACTTTAACCTCGTTAGTACATGTCAGATATACTACTGATTTGTTCCGAAAACGAAAAATCTACCTCAGCGGTTGATCTGTTGCCGATCCCATGTTAAGCCTACGGAATAGGACCAACGAACTTGTTGCATTCACCGCCGGATACATATACATCTTCAAAGGTCTCAACTCAAGCGAAGATATAAAAGGAGTCCCAGAATTCGTACCAACCAAACAAACCGATATAAAATGAGCTTCAGCCACAGTTAAAACCTCAGCCATATAAACTCTCGATGCGTCAGATATATTAATCGTCTTCCATAAGTTGACACCTAAATGAAGATCAAACACTATCGGCTTGTTCAGGCCGTCGTAGTTACCATACATGAACATAGCTCTAATCGAATACTTGAGACCTTTTAGTACTGGTCTTAGTGTATAACAGTTTCGACTTCCATCAGGAAAGCTTCGAAGGCTTGATAGTTGTGTCGGAAGTGAGTTGCTAAGATAGTTCGCTGAAATATTGTAATTTGCACCGCTATCTGTAAATGGTGTATCGCAAATGTAAGGTATTTCAGTGATCTCATCGTCGTACGAACGTCCTTCAGAAATACCGCAATCAATGCTAATGAAGCCTGCAGGGATGAATTTGATTCGGTTTAGTTCTGAAGAGTTATTGAGTAGAAAGTTGAGTTAGAGCTTACCTTGAGTATTTGGCTGGGCTTGAACTCCAATGGTACATGAGATAGCTGATAGGGTGATCCACAACAAGAGGCTGTTCATTGTCTCCTTGTGTCTTAATTTGGGAAATTAGGTATTTATTCTTTGTGCGTGTTAGAGATTATGAAGGCAATGAAAGTGAAACTTCACATGGGACGAAAAAGCTATGACTTGTCATTCTGTCGTATACCAAAGGTCACGGAGCTCGGCCGGGTTTTTAAGCAATAACAGAATGAGCGAGAAAGCAACACATCGACAACATAAGAAAGCAATAAAAAGATAAAGGTGTGTACATCATTATCTACTATATATTGATGCTTCATTGACCAGATACCTATTAAATTTAATTCTGTGACGAAGTCAATACAAGGCTGGAGCAAATCAAATGTTGTTCTAGGCAAGACTTTATGAGCTTCGGCTAACTCTGAAGTCTAAATGCAACATTTTCACCAAATAGTCCACAATCTGTATAGATAAAATGTACATGAGGTTGCACAAAGTTCATACATTAAAGCGAGACAACAGCTGAAATCATCAAAAAATCACTTCTGCACTCCAGACAGGTTATATGCTAGGATTGCTGATGTTGGGCGCAGAGTCACGCCCACCGCCGCGGAAGCGATATGTCCTGAGAGAGAGCCCTGGCTTTTGTTTTCACAAAAGTACAAGTCAAACTCAGTATCTATGTTTCGCGAAGGAAACCCAGACTCAGTAGCGAAATATCTCAGCGAAGTGAGATATCCACTCTTCCTCTCATCAGCGCAAGACCGAATTTTGAGGGATTCTACAAGCAATAGCCAACAACCCAGAAAACAGTAAATACACGAGATTTTACGTGGTTCGGCAAACTAGCCTACGTCCACGGGAGGGGGTTTCACTATGAGGAGAATACCAAACTTTACAAGTTCTCTCTCACTCACTTATTCTTTTTCTCTCAAAGAAAACTCACACAACCCAATTGTTTTACCACAATTTTCCCACACCAACTCAACTCACAACCACCTCTATTTATAGAAAATGAAGGGGGAGGGAACTCAGGTAATTGGCGGGCACACAAGGCGGGAAACGAAGAAAGCGCGCGCGGATAAAAGAAATTCCCGCGGGAAAATTCCCGCGTCGAGGTCCTGTGCGCGCGCAAGAAAGCAGGGGCGGGCGATGCTTTTTCGTGGACGTGGGCAGACCCACGTGGGTGGGCTCCACCTAATCACAGCTGAAGCTTTATACGTCCACCTGTATCCAATTAACCTAATGGACCAGGAGATACTCGGGGTCGTGATACTCTGACATCATAAATCTGTGTGATCTCAAAAAAATAATAATAATGACCTTTCTCATGTATTTAAAAATAATAATGATCTTTCTCATGGATCTAAACATTTACAAGAAAAGATTTATCAGAAATTATGGTTATGTGAAAGATCCAGATGTCCTCGACGCAACTGAAGAAGCTTGAGCAAAAGCACTTTATTGAAAACAAACAGGCATACTTCAAGAAGCTCATCTGTGTTACTGCTGCTTCTCTGTCTCTTTTTTTTCCCAGGTACCTGTTAAAGGAGAAATCATAGGATGTAAAGTTCGCCATGCTGAATAGGGAATACCACAGAGCCATGGACATTTTTCAGTTGTTCATACAAAACCAGATAATAATCTATTTTCATGTTTCTGTTGAACTGACATGAACGCCGTTTGCGTAGTTTTCATGTAATCAGACTATTTATTTGCGTATCTATATCAGTATTTGTTATCTGTTGGTTTCAGAATAGGACCATCTGTGTACCGTGGCTTATCTTTGAACAAATAACTCAATTTTGCTCCTCCTAAATTATAGATCAGTACGAAGTCTAACCTTTGTTTGCTAATGCATCAAAGATTTTAAAAGCAGGTACTAACAGAAGCATGTTTATTTTTGCCTCCAATTAACTTGCGTTCGGAGATTTATCAATAGAGAGTATTTCCTTCTGACTCATGGTTGGTCTTATGGAAAAACTTGAGCACTTCACTAAGGCTACATGGTCTCAACTCGTAAGCAATATTGTGGGCATATGAATCTTACAACTTTAAGATTTTATGTAAGCAGCATATTCTCATAGCCTCGTTAATATTGGTTGACAGGCAAGCAATAAACTCGGTGAATCTCAACTACCAAGAAGCCTCTGAATTTAGAGTTGACTCATAGTTGACCTTTTTTATTTTGACACGAGATAATGATGATCATCCACCAACACATTGCAAGGAAATAGAAGAAATCGGCTAAAAATTCATTATTTTTACTTCCCATAACTTGCAACTGTAGAAATGGCAGGAACAGGCATTGGCAGGCAGGCAGATTGGCGGTCGACCGCATTCGTGCACGAGACTTACTGGGCGTCAGGATTGGTGGCGGTCTACCGCAGAAGTTTCTGTTCGGTGGGCGGTCGACTGCCGCGGTCGACCGCAGAAGTCTTTGGACCATTGGGGCTGTTCTGGATTGAGGGCGGTCGACCGCGATGGATCGCGGTCGAGCGGTTTTGGGCTGGGTCTGTTTTCCAAACCCGTTTCGTTTGGGTTTTCTATAAATACCCAAACTCGATTCTAGGGTTTGAAAGGCAAGTGTTTTGAGCCGTTGAAATGAGTTTTCTTTGGGCTTCTATTCTAGGAGCAATTGGAGAGATTGAGAGTTGATTTGTTAAGGGTTTATGAGAGATTTGTAACCCTAGTTTGTTCCTCTTAATTTCTAATAGTAAAAACTCCCCCCTCCTTGCCCCGTGGACGTAGGCATCTCGCCGAACCACGTAAAATATGGTGTTTGATTATTTGTGCTCTTGTTGGTGTGTTGGTTTATCTCTTTCGGCTATTTGGTTGGATCTCGGCATAGGGGTTTCTCCCCAACAATTGGTATCAGAGCTCCGGGCAACGCTTGGGCTTTTTGGAGGTGTAGATCAGTTGGGAAGTTCATCTAGAACTTCGATTGGTGATAAAGATTGGATCTTTGTGGTAAAGTTTCTATCTTTTTCACGTTGGATCTATTTCCTATTTGTTTCGTAATAGTTTGGATGCTTTGAGATATATGGCCGAAAAAGATAAAAGTGGGGAGGGTTCTTCTAGTATGAAGGCCGTCCAAAGTTTGAATATACATTCTATGAAAATAGATGTGGAAAAGTTCAACGGCACAAATAATTTTGGACTTTGGCGATGTGAAGTCATGGATGCGCTCAATGCGTAAAATTTGAAAGATACGTTGGAGTTAGACGGGAAACCGGCCGAAATTGATGATAAGGTTTGGAATAAAATGAATAGAATAGCGTGTGGTGTGATTAGGTCTTGTCTTACCCAAGATCTAAAATATGATGTGATGAATGAGACTTCAGCAAAGAAGATTTGGGAGGTCCTAGAGGGCAAATATTTGACGAAAAGCGTCGAAAATCGTTTGTATTTGAAGAGGAGGCTTTATCGCTTCCAATTGAAGAAGGGGACATCCATTAGTGATCACATGAACCACTACACGAACCTACTTGCAGATTTGGTGAATGTGGATGTTATAATTGAAGATGAAGACAAGGCATTGTTGTTATTGAGTTCCTTGCCCGACGAGGAATATGAGACATTCGTTCTTACTCTTATTAATGGGAAGGCATCTCTTTCATATAGTGAGGTCACCGCAGCCCTTGTGAACTATCAACTTCGAAAGAATGACAAGGAGGCTTCCATTGAGCCGGTTGCGGGGGCATTAGTTGCAAGAGCTAGAAGTCCAAACCGTGGTAGGAGGTCGTAGTCTAGAGGGGGGGCATCCTGCAGTTGGCAGGAATCAATGTGCATTTTGTAAAGAAAATGGACATTGGAAAGCTGAATGCCCAAAATTGCAAGCCGTGAAGAATAAGGGGAAAGTTGTTCAAGCTTCAGAGGTGAATGTTACCAAGGCTAGTGGTGACGTTTCTAATTCAGATTCTTTAGGCTATTCGTGCCCAGCTCTTCCGTCAGTTGGTGTTGCCGACTCCACCGAGTGAATGTTAGATTCAGGTGCTACTTACCACATATGTCCTAGGAGGGATTGGTTCTCCAGCTTTCAGGAGTTGGAAAGAGGGGATACTGTTCTTATGGGTAATGATCACAGATGCCCTATTGGTGGTATTGGTACCGTTCGTATTCGGACGAGTGACGGGATGATTCGGGAATTGGTTGATGTGAGGTTTGTTCCTCAACTAAGGAAGAACATCATTTCACTTGGGGTATTGGAGGCAGCAGGCTATAGGGTGACCTTGACAGATTCTCACTTGAAGGTCACATCGGGGTCCATGATTGTGATGAAGAGTGTCAGGAGGAGTAACTTGTATTATCTGCTCGGGAGCACGGTGATTGATAAAGCACTGACGACTTCTTTGGCTAGACTGTGACATTGTTTGGTGTTGGGATATATTATTGGTTATGCCGTGCACAGATTGTTGAGGAGTGCTATGACCTGCAGATTGAAGTCCTGTGAGCACATTGGGATGAGCGAGGAGACCGAGGTGGAGTTCAGTACTTCTATCCATCGATCGAGGGGTCTTATTGGAGGTGTTCAGTCAGGCATTGGGGGACCTTCCATGTATGCATCATTGGGAGGTAATCGTTATTTTGTTTCCTATGTTGAGGATTGTACTAGGCATATATGGGTTGCAACCAAGTCCCGTTGGTCTGAAGCCCTAGTAGTCCGCAACAGTTGGAGGAGGTGTATGGGCAGAAAGGTTACCCGTCATGCTAGTTCTAGTAGGGGTTCTTTCGTGCATTGGTACCGAGCTCATGACAGTTGGAGACACTTTAGAGGAGAGGAGACAGTGGGGCGATGTGATGAGATGGCGGATCTAGTGGGTCGTTCTTTTCTGGGGGAGGATCGGCGTTGGTTGTCAAGCAGTGGATTTGGTATTCATGCTTTGACACGTGTGGGCCGTCTTATGAGGTTGCCGACTGCTGCATGTAGAGTTGTTAGATCTGGTGGAGTTGCTTCAGATTTTGGTCGGCGTCGGATATTTGGCTACCCAGCACTTGGTCACATCGTTGATGTGAGATTGGATCCGATTGCGCATTTGGGATTCAGGAGTTCATTTGGCTATCAGTTGGGA